GTCCCAATGACCGATGTAAAAACGGCCGTTGTAGTGCATATTTCGGCACTGTTTTACATCGTTTATTAGATGTACCGCAACTGTTTCCAATAAGTGTTTACATCGGTTATCAGATGTATCCGCTGCCAATTTCCGGTACTGGTTTACGGATTTATTATAAACAAACCAAAGCGGTGATCTACACGTGGCCTACTTAATTTGTCCATAGAGCCATCCCTGGCAAACAATCGGCGATTGAACCCTACAATGGAGCAAACAAATACTGTAACAGCCGAGAAAGTGATTCAGATGATGAAATGGATAGTGAAGATGACTTTAAATAAGAACAATCAGAAGACCTGAACTGGTCTTTCATTGTTAATACACCTTATCGCTATTCCCGGCTGACCCGAGAATCTGTCCCGCTTGAACTATTGACGTCAAACAACAATCACTTTTCCATTGTGGCGTCAGATATTTTGTATTGTGACGTCAAAATTTTACGGGAACCTGTGTGATGTCCAGTAATGGCGGACAAATAGCGATAAGGTGTATTTGCCTGTGGGTGCGAAGAATAAAACTAATATTAATAAAGTTATTTTTCGATAAAATATGTTATCAATTTTTTTTCAGGATAAAATTGAGAGATTTTGTTGGACTGGCTAAAATTTTGTAGGACTGACAAATAATCATGCTTTGTCGGTCCCATGACCGACGGGTCAAAATAAGTTTTCGCGAACTCTGCTAGTTTGGGTATTATTCTGGACTAAGATCCTCAGTAATCATCTTTTATCTCTTACTTGATAAAATACATCCATTTATCTGGGCTAGAATCCTGTTCTACCATTATCCCTCTATGCAATGATGTCATATCCTCAATGATGTTTTGATAATCAAATGTCGACACATTGGACAGGTGCATGACGTTTTGAAAAGGACACATATTTGTGGAACAAAAGAACATAGAATAGACTTGTGACCTCTATGATGCCATATAGGATAGGACACAGATTTCAGGCTGGTCAAAGATTAGACTCTTGCATGTTCATAAATATTTTTTCTAACTTCTCTATTAAATGCCTTTTTTCAGTATTGATTTAATCTATTTTATAATTGGAGATTTCAAGAATTGGGTCATCACTGGGTAAAATCACCCATTATTCAAGATAGGTCACAGGTCTGCAGAAATTAAAAAATACTTTTCACTTCCCTTTGATAAAAAAAAAAAAAATACATTAGCAAAAAACTAGAATTAATTATACATAAGTCAGCAATTTCCTTCATCCAGTAAACCCTTTCATCTTGTTTAAACATTTTGTTTAAATCAGAATATCAAATGTATAAGATAAATGGATTGACCAATCTGCTTTTTAATGTATTATGGGTTTTCAATAACAAAAAATAAGCATAACTTGACGACCTCTACTCAGCAGTTACCTTAAACTTATTATACATTTCTGCCTTGCAACTTAAGTCAAGATTGTCTTGTTAATTATGTAATTGTTGTTTTTTTTCTATTACAGTTTTCAATCCTCTAAACTTATAATATGCTGAATATAACATTTGACTACCTTAAAAAAGAATTGTTGCATTGAATAAAATCCTATTTGGGCAATAGTCCATTTGCCAATTACCGATTTGATTCTGTTATTACACACTTTTTAAACAAATTGCTTCCCTTTATCATTCCTAGACTGGTTCTTTAGTTACTGGACAAAAATTGGCTTCTGCCCACGCAAAGCATGATAAGTTGAAAGGGATATATCGGCATTTTAACCATTTTTGGGAAAATTAAATTCCGTGTGGTGAACCAACGCCTGTGAAATCGTTTTGGTAGAGTCCCTGAAGTGGATACCTTGGTATGCCGGGTTGTCAAATCATGCAAATGAATGCAATCCTTAAATAATAATTAAAATTGACAACAACACTTCAAAAGATCTGCAATTTTATTATCTATGTCTACATGTTTCGCCTGCAAGGCAGGCTTCATCAGGACAATTTTTATACAGAATTTAATCCCTGAAGTACTCAAAGTGGTGCAAGAAATTTGACGTCGTCATGGTGAGAGAAACAATGAAAAGTGAAAGTAGCAATACAGAGTTATAAATAGATAAGATAAATATAGAAAGTTAAAGTTTGTTTACAATGTAACTTGAGTTTGTTTTACTATTATATGATACATGAAATTGTTCTAATGGCTTGGTATCTAATTGGACGAACTTCCCATGGTTCCTACCACTTCGCAAGGCTTCTCTTCCAACCTGGCCATTGTTGGAGGTTACTACTTCCTGGCGCGTCGGCAACACATAGGAAGATTATGGTCGCCGCTATGTAAAATAAAATTGTCAAAAAATGTTCCCTTGTTAATTATTTGGTGACTCTCTATAATTTTTGGATCGTCTGCAGTAGTTGGTCTGTTTAATAGCATGGTTGTGAATTCCTAGTTCATTTAAGATCGGCGCCCGTGGTACGTTTTTTTTCTGCTAACAGTTATATCTATATGTTAAGGTGGTATCGGATTTCTTGGTCATCTTGGTTCAGTTGTTATTTCGTCGCAAGTATGGAATATTCCTTGGTCCATGTATATGCTGGTGGCCTGTAGATTGGCGCGTGTAGCAAGGCGGTTCCTTTCGGATGCAGGGGTTCACGATTAAATAATAAATTAAATTCCGTGTGGTGAACCAACGCCTGTGAAATCGTTTTGGTAGAGTCCCTGAAGTGGATACCTTGGTATGCCGGGTTACCACGGGCGCCGATCTTAAATGAACTAGGAATTCACAACCATGCTATTAAACAGACCAACTACTGCAGACGATCCAAAAATTATAGAGAGTCACCAAATAATTAACAAGGGAACATTTTTTGACAATTTTATTTTACATAGCGGCGACCATAATCTTCCTATGTGTTGCCGACGCGCCAGGAAGTAGTAACCTCCAACAATGGCCAGGTTGGAAGAGAAGCCTTGCGAAGTGGTAGGAACCATGGGAAGTTCGTCCAATTAGATACCAAGCCATTAGAACAATTTCATGTATCATATAATAGTAAAACAAACTCAAGTTACATTGTAAACAAACTTTAACTTTCTATATTTATCTTATCTATTTATAACTCTGTATTGCTACTTTCACTTTTCATTGTTTCTCTCACCATGACGACGTCAAATTTCTTGCACCACTTTGAGTACTTCAGGGATTAAATTCTGTATAAAAATTGTCCTGATGAAGCCTGCCTTGCAGGCGAAACATGTAGACATAGATAATAAAATTGCAGATCTTTTGAAGTGTTGTTGTCAATTTTAATTATTATTTAAGGATTGCATTCATTTGCATGATTTGACAACCCGGCATACCAAGGTATCCACTTCAGGGACTCTACCAAAACGATTTCACAGGCGTTGGTTCACCACACGGAATTTAATTTATTATTTAATCGTGAACCCCTGCATCCGAAAGGAACCGCCTTGCTACACGCGCCAATCTACAGGCCACCAGCATATACATGGACCAAGGAATATTCCATACTTGCGACGAAATAACAACTGAACCAAGATGACCAAGAAATCCGATACCACCTTAACAGATAGATATAACTGTTAGCAGAAAAAAAAACGTACCACGGGCGCCGATCTTAAATGAACTAGGAATTCACAACCATGCTATTAAACAGACCAACTACTGCAGACGATCCAAAAATTATAGAGAGTCACCAAATAATTAACAAGGGAACATTTTTTGACAATTTTATTTTACATAGCGGCGACCATAATCTTCCTATGTGTTGCCGACGCGCCAGGAAGTAGTAACCTCCAACAATGGCCAGGTTGGAAGAGAAGCCTTGCGAAGTGGTAGGAACCATGGGAAGTTCGTCCAATTAGATACCAAGCCATTAGAACAATTTCATGTATCATATAATAGTAAAACAAACTCAAGTTACATTGTAAACAAACTTTAACTTTCTATATTTATCTTATCTATTTATAACTCTGTATTGCTACTTTCACTTTTCATTGTTTCTCTCACCATGACGACGTCAAATTTCTTGCACCACTTTGAGTACTTCAGGGATTAAATTCTGTATAAAAATTGTCCTGATGAAGCCTGCCTTGCAGGCGAAACATGTAGACATAGATAATAAAATTGCAGATCTTTTGAAGTGTTGTTGTCAATTTTAATTATTATTTTTGGGAAAAATAACTTCTGGTAGCAAAAGTATTTAGATTAACAACAAATTAATGGTAATTAAAAAGTTTTAAAAACTTAAAGGTTAAAAACATTATGCACATTTGCTCTTTCCGCTAGCTCTCCATTGTCATTAAAAATTTATGATCCTCCCAAGGGAAACAACTAAAAAATAGATCTTTAAATACAGGGTCAACCTGATTATCCCCCTTACTTCTTCAAGTTCAGGAATTTTAGAAACATGTAGAAATGCACACTATTAGTTAAGCAATTTTATCATTTGTTGCATAAATTGTGCAATGCCCATATATCTATTTGTTGCAATTTTATAAAAGAAAAGAGATCAGGGCCCTATGATACAGGAATGGGATAAAAATGTCAACATTTTTTAGTTGGTAAACAGAGATGTTACCACCGGAAGTGCCATTAATTAACAACCTTCTGTTAGATTCAAGCAAAAAACTATCAAAAAAGATACATTATTTAGTAGTACACGATGTGTTATTGATTATCAATTATTAGGATAACAATATTGTGTGTAAAATATAGCCCTTAGGAGCTCGTTGAAACCAGGCAATAAAGTTTTTTGAATTTTTTGGCAGGCTAATGTTTACACGACCTTCAACTTTTAAATTAACAATCTGGGTCATGTGCTTCATGTTTAGTAGTAAAATCAGAAACTTATCAAATAAAAATTTCTCAAAAATGTAAAGGTCTGCTGTTACGCGTTCATATAATGTGAATTTTGCATGTAAAGTAATGGACTATTTTGTTCCGCGTAAGAACAGGTACTCTCATCCTAAATCGCCATGTTGTGGCCACCTCGACGTAAACACTCACCTTTTTCCGATGGAGGAAACGTGTTAAGAAGTTCCTCATCTCTTCCGACTTGAGTAATTATGGACGATGTGTCCATCTAGGAGCTCGGGAAATTCTTTAAGCGACGACGTTTTTAATGTTTATGTGTTAACTTTGCAAATAAAGTTGTAAACTGTCCACCATGGAAGAACACAACAGGCATCATGGCTTCTTTTCTGCATATTATGAATATGTATGAGATAGATATAAGAAATAGGTCAACTGTTTAATGTTGATTTAGGTTAGCAATACATTCACATTGTCACATTCCGATGTTGGTTGTCTTTGATTTTTCTTTTACTTTTAATTGAGATTAATTGGGTAATATATGAAATTAAAGTTTTCAAACATATGTACTGTAGAACTGCAATTTGGCGGGATTTTTTTTAATTGACAAAAGTACACGGCCGCATCATAAATTTCGGAAAGCAAGTGGAAAATAAATTAAAGATTCCCATTGAAATGACAAACACGTCTTTTCAATATTTTTATTATTTACTACAAAAAATGAATGCATACATTACATATAAGTTATATTTCTATTATTATTATTATTCAATGAAATAGTGTATCAGTAGTGAAAATAAAGTTTCTGGTGGGGAAGTTGCTTGTGACTGCAGGGAACTTTATTTAGATATGCCTGTTATGGTCTCATTGACATTTTATACACACCTTCGTTCAATTTCAGCACATTGAATTTGTCGTTAGTAAATTATTGCTACTTTCCTGGTAGAACATGTTGATAATTATGATGTTATCTAATCAATTGAGCAGAACGGAACGTTCGAAGCGAGAAAAAAGTTATGCCTTTCCTACCCGGCTAAAAAAAAATTTTTTTTTATTGTAAGACTACGGGAACACCTCGAAGACATAACGGAAAATTAATCAATATCAAAAATTCCTCACTTGACTCAGATATCATTTTGAACGGCTTATTCTCATTTCGCCTTAGCTGTCAAAATAATTATATAAAATTAATCCCAGTTTGCCTTAGTACAAATTTTCAGGTACACAAGAATTAACTAAGGCGAAATGGGAGCTTCTGTAAACAACGTAATTAAGTTATGTTTTGTTTGTATTGCAATTAGTTGATATTTGTTATTTTGATGTCAAATTCTACCATGAAATACTATTTAAAAGAAGATATTTTTTTTTTATTTTTTGTGTCCCACTTTTAAAATATTTTTTTTTATAGTTGCTCTTCTTTTTCTGAAATTGTATTTTTTTACTCATGTGTTATATTTTGTAAATAAAGTCTTATTAGATATGACAAATTGGATATGGATGTTTCATATTTTAATGAATAAATAAAGACAAATATCAAACTATCATAACAAATATTTTACCTTTTTTACCTGGAATTTCCAGCTAAGGCGAAATGGGAACACACCTTTTGAACTATTGAAATATATGCTCTATCACGAGTTTTACGATTGATTATCATGATTATGTAAGGAAACAACTATCAAAATATTATCAGTGTTTATAAAAAAGAAGATGTGGTATGATTGCCAATGAGACAACTCTCCACAAGAGACCAAATGACACACAAATTAACAACTATAGGTCACCGTACGACCTTCAACAATGAGCAAAGCCCATACCGCACAGTCAGCTATAAAAGGCCACGGAATGACAATGTAAAACAATTCAAACGAGAAAACTAACGGCCTAATTTATGTACAAAAAATGAACGAATAACAAATATGTAACACATAAACAAACGACAACCACTGAATTACATACAGGCTCCTGACTTGGGACAGGCACAAACATACAGAATGTGGCGGGGTTAAACATCATGTTAGCGGGATCCCAACCCTCCCCCTAACCTGGGACAGTGGTGTAACAGTACAACATAAGAACGAACTATACAAATCAGTTGAAAGAGGCTTAACTCATCAGATGGATAAAAATACAAATACAAGTGGACGTGGCCGGGTACTTGTACATCCAAACAACAAAAAGACACTTAGTACAGATCTGAAAGTACTCGCAGTCACTGACAGCTAGTTCAAAGCCACTAACAACTAATGAAAAAAAAATTATGCATCTAAGACTAAATTATCAATCCGTACACATCCAACATCCAATGGATTTAGTGTAAAGACGTCATTAACAGTCAGAGAAAAACCTGATCATCACCTTGTGCATTAATGCTAATAAAGTCGGTCAGAGAAAAACATGACCTTGTGCAATGCCAAGATACAGGTATCGACAGATTGTAGATCCATGAATATAACAATAATATTTAGTTTGCTTTTAATTTACTGATAACAAAATCAATATTAGTACCAATAAAAACAATATTTAATGATCTGATTACAGTGTTGAATTGGTAACCTTTTAGAATAAGTTTATTTAAAGGATCGATAAGTTTACCAGGATCGTTTCTAAATTTCCGGGAACGGTAAACAATATTGTCGTAAAAATAAGGATGCGCAATCCCGTTTGAAATAAGTTTTCTACAGGTACAACCAAACTTCAAAACCAAATCTTTATATCTGTGGAAGAATTTAGTAAAGGTTTTATGTAATTTGTGGTAACGAAATCCATGGCTTAATAATTTACCAGTAATACATAGATTACGTTCGTTAAAATCAAAAATGTCACAACAGACACGGGCATAGCGAACGAGTTGTGAAATATAAACACCGTAAGATGGTGCCAAAGGAACATCACCATCCAAAAAGGGAAAATTAACAATAGGGAACGAAAAAATCGTCCCTTTTGTCGTAAATTTTAGTGTGGAGTTTCTTTTGTTTATTATACGGAAAGGATAATAATATCAAGAAATCATCTAGAAAACCTGCAAAAACATCAAACCATGACTCCCTATTATTGTCATTCTTCATGTCCAACAAACAAACAGCTAGAAGATGGTCAGACTCGCATGAATAAAACATTGAAATAGGTTTGAAGCAAAAAAATTATGACAAAAGAGATATAAAGCGTATTGCTGTGTGTTTATTAATTCCACATATTTTTTTGAGATCTCACAAAACATGTTTAAACCCGCCGCATTTTTGCGTCTGTCCCAAGTCGGGAACCTCTAGCCTTTGTTAGTCTTGAGTGTTTTTTTTTTATTTTGGTTGATTTGAATGTTTCCGAGTTTAGCATTGCGTCCACTTCGCTGAACTAGTACACATTAGTGTTTAGGGGCCAACTGAAACCCGCCTCCGGCTGCGGGATTTTCTCGCTGCGTTGAAGACCCTTGGTGCATGGCCTTGGGTTGTTTTTGCTCCTGGGTCGCGTTGTCTAATTGACACATTCTACGTTTCCGTTCTCTATTCTATGACATTTGAATCAAGTGTTAGACACTTTTGCTGAACAATCAGATACTGATCTAGAGAATTCACCAAATTAGCTATAATTTTTGCATGTTTGAAAAACAGATTTGCTCAAAATATTTTGATACCCTCCATCTAAAGTATTGAAAATTTGAATACCCCCTCTTTCCATTCCCAAAAAAATTCAACGCCCATCTCCCTTAATTTCCCCCACCACACACTTTTTCAGGTTACAAATGACCAGACCCTTACTTGTTCCAAATTGCATTACGTAATGGACTTCTGCCGTTTTACTTATTGTGGAGGCAGGGGCAAAGGTTGTCTTCTTGTCATTTATTAAAAATGTCATTTTAATTTGTCATTTTTTTCATCACTCGTTACCGTTATTATTGAATGATATTATCATGTCAAATGTTTATGACCTTTGGCGCCTATATTTTAAATTATATAAATACAAATATTCTTAGGTTCTATCGCGCACTGCCTCTGTTAAAAAAAAATCACATTTAGCACACGTATGCAGAGGCGTTAGATAAGTATTAACTTTAGAAAAGTATTTAACACCCTCGACTGTTAGTGTCAATATTTGTAATAAAAAAAAAGCAAACAACTGTCCCCAAAACTTTATTTTTTGAGGCCTATATATATTATTGAGAAAGATTGTAATACCAAAGATCATTACAAATCCTTGCTTTTGATTGTGTGTCACGGTGTGTGTGTGTGTGTGGTTCTTTTTTTTTTGGGGGGGGGGGGGGGGGGGGGGGTAATCACTTATTCACAATTTGAATTTCTGTTTAAAAGTTTCATTTACTTTTCTTACAAGAAGGCACCTGTCCGTCCGTTAGTAAGATGGTTTCCGAATAATTTACAAAATATCAAAAACGGCTGAAACCACATATTGAAATAAATAGTTTTATTAAATAAACCATTTACACTGTACAAATTAGCCGGACAATGTCTAACAAAGCTGTATATGAATCCAAGACACACATACTAATAGAGTTCTGAACACCTCAAGTGGTGGTGCTGCTGCTACTGTGTCTGCCAGTATCTTACAGAGCGTGGAGAGAGTGAGTCAGCTATAAAAGGCCCCGAAATGACAATGTAAAACAATTCAAACGAAAAAAACTAACGGCCTAATTTATGTACAAAATAATGAACGGAAAACAAATAAACAGCAACAAACCACAACTACCGGACCATATTCCCCCGACCCGGGACAGGCACACACAGAACGCAGCGGGGTCAAACTAGTCTGAAGGCGCCAACCCTCTCCAACCTGGGACTGCGGTGCAATAGCACAACACAAGAACAAACTATAATCAGTCGAAAAAGGCCCAACTCATCAGATGGATACAAATAGAAACAAATCCAACAAAAACACAGAGTGGACGTGGCAGGGTACTTATACATTACCACAACAAAAAGACAACACGCACAGATCTGAGAGCACTCGCAGTCACTGACAGCCAGTTCAAAGCCAACAACAACCAAACAAAAAAAATTTCATGCATCTACGACTAAAATATCAATCAGTACACATCCAACATCCAATGGATTTAGTGTAAAGACGTAATTAACAGTCAGAGAAAAACCTGATCATCACCTTGTGCATTAATGCTAATAAAGCATTGTAGAGCCATGAATGTGCATATATATGTATATAAAATAATATTTAGTTTGATTCCAACCCACCGACAACAAAACCAACACTAATACCAATAAAACAACACTTAAATTACAGTACTGTGCCGAACCGGCAACCCCTTAGAATAAGTTTATTTAAAGGATCGATAGGTCTACCCAGATTTTCTTCAAATTTCCGGGTTCGGTAAACAACATTTCCGCAAAAATTAGGATGTGCCATCTCGCCTGAAACAAG